GTTAATGTTAATGTTATGTTGTTGCCTCGTCAAAAACATACCAGGAGTTGTGTTTTGGTTCATTCACATGTTTGAGTAATCCTTTATTAATAGTCTGTTTACATCATCAAAGCTCAAAATGCTCAGTTCAACCTTATGATGTCATGAAGCAATAGTTTTCATTTACAGTCCAATAAGATTCATTTGGTCTTATTTTCTTTTTTTAGGATCTTATTAGGTTCTTTTTTCAGACCTTCCTACTGGAGGAGACTGGATTACAGCACCAAAACCTGTACAAATCAGCTGACTAGACACGTCAGAGGTAGGACCAAGTCGTTGTTTTGCAAGTCTCAAGAAAGTCTCAAGTCTTTGACCACTAGTCTGAGTTAAGTCCCAAGTCAAATACAGTCGAGTCTTGAGTGACTGGCCCATAAGTCCAAGTCAAGTCCTCAAAGTCGTCTGCTTTGAGCTTCAAGTCATTTCAAGTTTTTCAACCAAAATACCAAATTTAGCTTAGATTTTTGCAATTTATATGATTTTTAAACTACCGGTAAACTGCACTTAAAAAGTCATGGTATATTTATATACCAGTATTTATATAAGAATTGAAGAAATGCATTTTTTTTTCCTTTTTAAATGTCTTGTCAAGACCTTAGTGTGAATCATTATGGTTAGAATTTAAGGAATTAAGATTTAACAGTGCTCATAACAGTTATTTTGTCATGTGTCTGCACTGAAATGGAAGAATCATGTTCTATGTAGTTTTACTGTATTGTACTTTATATTACTGTAGTACATTTGAGGACACCACATCACAGCCCTTCAGTTACATCCAAAATAACAAACAGAAGAGGGGCAGACATGTTCCAGTTTGTTCCTGTAAAATTCAGCATGGCATGTATCAACTGTAAAGAGAAAAGTATTTTCTAAAAACATATTTTTAGGAGTCTTCTCACGTCACAGGCCTCAATTAATATACATTTATATAATTTTGCCTTATTTGGCACCAGTCTCTTGCTATTTGTATTTCCACTTATTTAAAATGTATTATGATCATTTATATTTATTACTGTTTGTTAGTGAAGACATTACAACATTCACTAGGCCAATATTATCTAATACAGATGGGGGCAACTGCAGATTTCTGTTGTAATATGACATGGTCTTGGGTTTAGTCAATAATAGAAATGATGAGGTTCAATATTTGGGAATTTACCTTAAAAGTGCAATGTCATTAATAGAAAAAACTGGCTCTTGGACCCATTTGAAAGAACCATCTGGAATCTTGACATTTTATAATCTGAAAACCACGAATATATTGTGACGTGTGAGCTACTGTGCCCAAGTAATTTCCCTTGTGGATCAATGAAGTTTGTCTAAGTCTAAATCTAAGGTAGATCGTGCAAACTCGGCACAGAAAGACCCCCGCCCGGTCCCAGCCTCCGTCGGCACAGCTGTGGATTTGAAACCAGAGCACCTGCCAACCTGAGATCTGATTTACATGATGAAATTAGACGCTCTCTCTGCTTCGCTTGTTATTATGTAGCTGCTGCTCTAGCGAAGCCTCACTGCAGATTGGTGCCAAACATATTGGTGTTGTGGGTATGATTTCTCCAACAGCTCATGTTTGTGATTCTACTCCTGAATGTAACAGCGGGCCACAAATACAAAACCAACCCATTTTTCACTCAATGGATATAACTACCTATAATTTGTGCTATTCATTCTGTTTACCTTTGTTGGAAAGTTGCCACAGAAACCGGAAAGAAAACTTTTTAATGAGTATATTTTTTAGTATACAATATCAAGACAGCGATTTGATTGGCTGTTGAGACAATCATCAAAAACACACACACACACACAAAAACAAGACATGCAGATGAGGTGTCTTGCTCAGTATAAGTTTGAGCAGTATTTGAACCAGCAACCCTCCAGTTTGTGTATGAGCACTAAACAATACGCACGTTTAATCAAATAAGATGGAGCAATAGAGCAAATTTTATTGTAAATACTATTACCGTATTTTCTGGACTATAAGTTGCTCCGGAGTATAAGTCACACATATATAAGTCGCACTTTATGGGAGACATTTACTTATTTATACCACCCAAACCATGAAAAAAAGTGGGATTTATAGTCCAAAAAATACAGTACTATAACTATTTTGAAGTGTTTTCCTCTCCTACCATCACCAACCACACTAACACTTTCATACAGATATGTATGATATTCCTTGCCCAAAGACACAACAAAAATATGCTCAGTTGGTAGAATACTCTGAAGCAACATAAATGTATTTCCTGCAGATCCGTTGGTCCACAGGTTGGCGCATTAACGCCGTCATTGTATCCTTGGGCAAGACACAGAACTTGCCTGGTGTACACTGAAGTATGAGTGTGTGAATGGGTGAGTGTTTAGCAGAGGTGGGAAGGAATAGGTAAAGACGGTATTTAAGAATGACTATTTCTACTTAAAAATAATATTACTCGAGTTGAAGTACAAAGTAGTAGTCCAAGAAAGTACTCAAGTAAGAGTTAAAAGTATCTGGGAAAAGCATACTCAAGAAAGAGTAACTTAAATGTCTTATATTGCGTAAAACTAATTTATATGAACTTTAAGCCATGTTAGAATGTTGTTGCCTCCACAAAAAACACACTTAGAATTGTGGGTTTTTTGTTTTTTTTTTTTGTTTTGTTGTGGCCATACAGGCTTGTCAAACCCTGATCTCGTCAGATCTCAGAAGCTCAGCAGGGCCGGGCCTGATTTTTTTAATTTATGTCTTATTAAGGACATCACAATCGCATTAGACAAACCAGATGCATTGCTTTGAGTGTTTTAGCACAAGTGCGAGTTTTCAACACCTGTCCATCTAAAAATATAAACGACATGCATAAAAACAGAGAATACAAGACACATAAATTACATACAGATAAAATATATACAGTAGATTTTCAGTGGATGCAGTTTTGACTGGAAACATACAATAACTTTAATTTCCTTTTAAATTTGTTGTAGTTGGTTTCCAATTTTAAATGAGCTGTTAAACCGTTCCACAGACGAGCCCCTTTAAAAGAGAACGAGGACTGACCAAGAGTCGTCCTGTACCTCGGAACAACACAATTACCACTAGTAACGCCTCTTGTGTTCGCTCTGTGTGAACATTTTATGGTCCTGGCAAATTCTGAGTGTAATGGTGTATCGCGGTTAAGACACTTAAAAAATAATTTAAGATTGTTAAAATTGATAAAATTTTCAAAGTTAAAAAGTTGATGTTTCTTTGTAATTTCACAGTGGTGCCAGTTTTTGGGCTTTTTGTCAAGGATCTTAAGGGTCAGTTTGTGTAATGAACAAAGCGGTTTTAATGTAGTTGAGGAGGCCTGGGACCATGAGGTGATACAATAAGACAGATGAGAGAAGATCATTGCGTTCATGAATAGTTTAGAGGTTTGGAGCGATAGATCTTTACGTATGAAACGAACTGGATTGGAGACCACTGGGAAAATCAGGTACCACAGGGGGGCGCCAGTCACAAAAAACTGTTGTTGTGTCCTTTGGCATAACACTTTCCCCACATTGCCTAGTATGAAAGTAGTGTGTGTGTGAGTGATGGTGGTGGTTGGAATGGCCCATGGCGCTTCCGTCAGTCTGTCCAAGGGCAGCTGTGGCTACAATATTAGGCACAATATTGTTGTATTAACACTGACACCCTCACATCTGACCTTGGACCTCTTGCCACAAATTTGCACGGTTCAGCAAAGAACCTTGGTGTTTTTATGGACTCTCTTTTAAACTTTGACAAACAGATCGCAAATGTTGTTAAAACTAGCTTTTTTGAACTCAGACAAATTGCCAAATTAAAACCAATCCTATCATTCAATAACTTTGAAACAATCATTCACGCCTTTGTAACAAATAGACTGGACTATTGTAATGCACTATATTCAGGCCTCCCACAATCCTCCATCAACAGGTTACAGTTAATTCAAAATCCTGCTGCCAGACTGTTCACCGGTTCCAAAAAGAGAGACCATATTACACCCATCCTAGCCCAACTCCACTGGTTACCTGTTAAATACAGAATTGATTTTAAAATTTTATTATTTGTTTTTAAATCACTTAACTCACTTGCGCCACAATACATCACTGATCTTTTAACCCCCCACAGCCTCTCGGCCTCTCAGGTCAAACTCGCTCAACCTCCTGTCCATCCCACCAACCAGCCTCAAAACCAGAGGAGGCCGAACCTTCTCTGTTGTTGCCCCCAAGCTTTGGAATTCCCTCCCTCTTCCCCTGAGATCTTGCTCCTCCCTATCTCACTTTAAAACCCTCCTTAAAAACACATTTTTTCAAGATGGCATTTAACAGCCCATGAGCTCTATTTTAAACTATTATTTTTATGCATCAAGTAACTCGTCTATGTAATATTTTATATTTGTGTTAGTGTTTTCATTATGTTGTGTTTCATACTGTAAAGCACTTTGGTGCAACTTGTTATGGTTGTTTTTAAATGTGCTATATAAATAAAATGACTTGACTTGACTTGACAATCACTGAGTGTTGAGTGAATAAATAATGAACTGTAAAGGTGCTATATAAATGCAATGAGTAATTAATTAAAAAAAAAAGGTTACATTCACACATTCTTGAATTACCCTGCACTATTTGGCTGTCTGCATCCCCCAAGTTCAAAATGTTCTGTTCCACCTTGTGATGTCATGAAGTTGTAGTTTTCAAGTTAACAGCTCCTTTTTTACCTTTCGGTCAGTAGAGACTGGATCATTTCAGCTCTGGAATTACCAAATGATTCTAGTGAATTTGTGGAGTGACTTCCTGAGTGTTTTCCATTTGAGACAAGAACTAAATATGCAGGGTTTGTGTGTTAAATGTGTGAATGAAACAACACAACTCCAGGTCTGTTTGCGATGAGGAAACAACATTATAACATAGATCAGAAAACAGCATAATCTGGGCCCTTTAAGTGACAATTTAAATCAGATTTTACTCAAGTAAGTTTGACTCACCAGTGCTGGGGTTGAGGCTGAACATCCCTCCAGCGTTGCCGTCCTGGATGCTGTAGCTGACCCTTCCGTTGTCCCCCTGGTCCGGATCTCTGGCCATCACGTAGAGCACCACGAACCCCACGGGCTGGTCCTCCATCACACTCACCGCGTTCGGGGAGCTGAAGACGGGCTCGTTGTCGTTCTCATCGGTAACGTAAACCCTCACAGTCACCGACCCCCACCTCCTTTGGGTCTCATCGGTCGCTTGGTCGGTAGCTTTCACCACCAAGACCAGATTCGAGGTAGCTTCTCTGTCGAGTTCCTGACTGAGGTAGAGAACGCCAGAAGACGGATCAATACGCAGTAAATTGTTTGGCCACTGGTGAAGAATGGAATAGCTAAGTTCGCTATTGGGTCCACTTCCGTCTTTGTCAACAGCTTGGAAGGTATAAATCGAAGACCCAACTTTGGCGTTCTCCGATACGACGATCGTGATTGGATCTTCTGGAAACTTCGGCGCGTGGTCATTGCTATCCTCGACGTCGATGTCCAGTTGGACCATGGTGCTCGTGGGCGGGGCTTGTGAGAAATCGTCGACTTCGATTTGTAAGGTGTAGCGCGGGTCCTGTTCGTAGTCCAGCGGTCGGGCGAGGTAGACGTCTCCGGTGAGGCGGTCCAGCATGAAGGTGCCATCGCGGTCGGTGCCTCCAACTAAGGTGTAGGTGACCTCGCCCTGTAACGGAGGGGTGTCCTGGTTGGGAAGGCGGATGGTGCCGATGACCGATCCAGGTTTGGTCTCCTCCACTGAGTTGAAGGTTAAAGAGTAGGAGTTGGTTTTCACGGAAGGTCTGTTGCCGCTTAGAATCTGTGGAGACAAAAGAAAAGTTTCAGTCACTCAAATTACTTAAAAAATGTCGCCTTTAAACACATGGAGTAGTCGTCATGCGGATGAACAGGAGGATGAGTAAGGATCGGGGAGGAAGAGTCAGGCAGTCGTGTGTCAGGGCAGTTTGATTGAGGGTGGTAATAGTCTTCAGGACAAAGGTGTCTTTCTCGTCTGTATGAATGTATGAATATCGTGATCATCAAAGTTCTCACAATAATATCGTGGACCATCACCATATATGGAATTACAAGTCTCTTCGCTTAAATTAAGAGTTATGGTGCAGCAATAGCGGAAACTACATAGACCATGATCCTTTGCTCCATTTCAGTGCAGACTACATGAAGAAATAACAGTTCTAAGCACTTTTAAGTCTTAGTTCTTTGGATTAAGTCTAGTGAAGGCATTTTAAGAGGAAAAAGTAGCATATTAACAGTTTTAGCTGCTTATCCTCCACAAAATATCGCAATAAATATCGTACCGTGAGATGTATATCATGAAAATATCGTACCGAGAGATTTGGATATTGTTACATCCCTAATCATGAGCCTCCCCACCATATCATGAGTTAACTATCGTATCATGAGGTTCATACCGTGATGATATTATATCGTGAGACTTGGATATCGTTACGCCTTTAATAGTAAGTAAATCAACAAGAAAAAGAGATATGGCAATTAGGTCAAAGAGACAAAGATTGTAGTCCCGGTTTAGTTCTGATCTAGTCCAGGTTTAGTTCATTGGGTACAATGCCCGTTTTTTAACTGTTAAAATAAGTTATTTCAAAATTCGATTAATTCAGTCTCTGCTTCAATTTCATTTCTCTCCAATGACTAGGTCAGGAATCGGAATACACTAGATCAGGGGTGTCAAACTCATTTTGGTCCGGGGGCCGTATCCAACCTACTTGATCCCAAAGCGGATCAGAAAACCATGGCATATAAACCCCAAAAATAACAATAAGTTCAAATATTTGTGCAGAGAAACACAAATCTATTACAGAAATCTTTTTTAATTGATGAACTCTTTCTTTTACAAAACATTATAATATTATGAACAACCTGAAACTTTAAGAAAAATGCAATTTTTCTTAAATGTTTTAACATTAACTTGTATGCAAATAGGAATAAGTCAATTTTTCTTGGAAAATCCTGCACTTGTGTCCACTTTTCTTTTTGCTGATGAGCTCCAAACAATCGTCCTTTAAGAGCGTTAAGAAAGAGGCAAATCTTCACCGGCCAATCAGAGAAGAGCTGTGAAGCCATGACGTCAAACTCAAGCGCCTGTCTGGGTCCCTTTTGTGGTACAGCACAACAGTAAACAAAGCGGTCGAGATAGTTTGTTCAGTTGCGATGTTCAGCTGGTTAAACTAAAAAATGTACCCGCCTTCCGTCGAGCAAACGAATCCTAATGCTGTGAGGACAGACGGTTTCCATGAAGTGAAACCGGCTGGTGAATCAGGCTAGGATGAACTTTGGACAGAATCTTACAGCTAACCTTAAGGAGAGTTTGAACACAAGCCGGAAGAGATCACTAAATTACTCTAACATTTATGGATGACTTAAACCAGTTTAGTTTTGAGTTTTGGATTTGTTATTAAATACTTTAAAGCAGTCCTGCATTTTGGGTCCTCCCTCTGTTTCTACATGACACATTGGCCCACGATATAATTATATTTGGCCCACGAGATCATGTCAAATACAGAGAGACTACAGAGACATTATTTATTTAAAATATTATTATTTTATATTTTGCTTGGGTTTTTTTTTTTTGCTATTTTGCTGAATCTAATGTTTAAGCAAAACTATTATTAATCATTTATTTTAATAAGAAAAGGTTTAACATTACATATCTCAAAAAAAGAGAAAACATGCAGATGTTGAAATTTTTCAATAAATATTTAGTTCAGCCCACAACTTAGTCCCAGTTTTTAATTTTGGCCTCTGTGAATCTGAGTTTGACACCCCTGGACGATATTTTCAGAGCTAAGTTATAATTCCTGTTTCCTTATCACAAACACATGTGCAGTGGTGTTTTGTTTTATTCATTTAGGCTGAGTGCTTCTTTCAAACAGAAAACACTGTGTTCCACCTTGTGATGTCATGTGGTAATACAGGAGGTGCTCCTCTGTGTTTTTAAAATCCATACACGCTCAATAGGATCAGGATTTAGGCACGTTTTTGATGAAGTTACAACATGGTAGAATGACTTTTTTAAAAATGATTTTGCATAATACCCCCTCTTTAAACTGTTTTACAATGAACAAAATATAAAATGTTAAAGTTTTGTACCAAACTGAAAAAGCATAACGTGACTTCTTCAAAAATAAAAGAAAAGTTAACCTGCACTTGCACGCAGTTCTCAAGTGACTAGTCAAATCCAGTCAAAAATCATAATCCGGGCATTTTTAACTTTTTGAAGATTTTTGAGTTTCCAAAATAATTTCATGTCAACCTGTTTGTCAGTTTGATGGTTAAACGTTTCCTTTCCCTCTTTTTTTGGCCAACTGCTTGAAGTGAATCCCGATGGCCCGTGAGCATTTGGCCATGTATTCTGGCGTGCCTTGATAGCCGTGCTCCGTAGAGGGTCGGGGCCTGTACGCCGAGCACACGGGGCAGGCGGGGGTGAGAGCGGAGAGAAGGGGGGATGACGGGCGGTTCAATCAACAGCCCGAGGACGCGTTTGAAGAACACTGATTTACAAAACGTTGCACATCTCATGCCCAGTGTTGAAAAGCAGCGGCAGAACTGTCAGGCAACCGAAGAGACGAGCAAAGAGACGGTCCGTGCCAGCGCTCACGAGCCATCGGGACGGTTTCACTGGGCCAAAAGAACGAGAGGCGGTGCAGTAGCCAAAGATTTTTACTCAAATAAGAGCAAAGATTTGAATAATATTAGTCAAGTAGAAGTACAAAAGGAGTGCTTCAAGAAATTAAGTAAAAACACAACTACTCAGGTAAATTAAAGAGTAACTGTCAGGAGGTAATATCTGATTTTAAAACAGAAGTGACAAAAAAGAAAAATGAGACAAACTAAATTATATCTGAAGGAACAAAGCAAAAAACACAAATCAGTTCATATTGTCAACATAAAGCTTTTGTGACTTGTAGAGTAACCAAAACATTTACTCAAGTAACAGTACTGTATTATTTTTGCTACTTATTTAGAATTTATTATTACCATTTATATTTTTCGGCCTTTGTTATTATATTATATTGTGATGTGTGAGCTACTGTGTCCAAATAATTTCCCTTGTGGATCAATAAAGTTTGTCCAAGTCTAAATCTAAGTCTGAGTCTGAGTCTGAGTCTGAGTCTGAGTATCTGCTGTATTCTCAAAAGTGCAATTTCTTTCAAATGTCACTCAAGTAAATGTAACTGAGTAAATGCAACTGTATTATAATATAAAATTGTGTTTATGGAGATGTTATTACTTTCCCTGGAATCCCTGTATGGCATTAAATTTATGTTGGATTTATTTGATTACAGGAAGAACTAGAAAAGCACTCAGAGAGCGCAGACCTCCGCCAAGGACTACAGTCCCCCTCATATTAATTGTGTTTTCCATAAATATTTGTCTCGTATCTTTCAATTTGGAATATGAAAGAGGATCCCATTGTCCATCCCTGAGTCAAATTTCATGGGGTTTGGTCAATAATTAACCAAGATATTGAGAAACAAAATTTTTGGGCCCATTTACCACAATGTTAACTAAAATTTCAAAGTGATCCAGAATCCAGGATTTCTTCCGGATCACCCCCAAAATGAAATCAGTTCTTCCTTTTCACATTTCCAACAAATCCTGAAAATTTCATCAAAATCAGTCCATAACTTTTTGAGTTATGTTGCTAACAAACAAACAAACAAACAGACAAACGCCGGCAAAAACATAACCTCCTTGGCGGAGGTAATAAAACTTGAAAAACATGCCATTCTTTCTGTGCGTGTTCTCATTTCTCCACAGATCTGGCCTGTAAATAGGTGGGTTTCACGTGACATCACAGGGCTACGTTTGTCAGCACGCAAAATCAGATGGAGGGCAGGAAGTGAACTGACTGGAGGAAAATGCCGATGTGTTGTGTAGTTTACGGCTGTGCCAATCGTTCTAACCGAGAGAAGGAAAAGCGATTTTTTTTTTAGAGTTACCGAATATAGTCGTCCACAAAGGTCAGAAATGGGAAAAGCTGACAGAACAACGCCGTAAAAAGTGGATTACAAACCTGTTTGCGGTCGGGAGGAGCAGAATTCGGTAATGCTCGTGTCTGCAGTGACCACTTCCTCAAAGGTTTGTTACAAAGCTAAATAGTTTTTTGTGGTTTACCTAAACATAAACGAATCATTAACGACTAACGGCTAACGACGTATGTTGACATTAAATAGTTCAGATGGAGGTTACTGCCGATACGCTGCAGTTCTTCCATTCGTCTAAACACATAAAATAAGAAACACTCACCCCGGCGAAGACCAAACAATAATCATCATTTAGGCGTTTTGCATCGAGGTTGAGGACCCATCCACTGACAAAAAAAGTTTATATGCCTCCAAACTTTTGTACAGCTTCATCTGTTGTCTGGTGTAGAACGATGTCTGAAGAGCTAAATAGTTCGTGATCTCCTCTGCCTCGATTGTCGGCAAATCTTTTACTTCGGTTGAAAATTCTCTCATTTTCAATAAGATCAGGGTCACGCCCAATATATTTGTCGACTAACTGCTCGTACTTTTGCCTCGCTACTGGCTCTAAATCCTTACAATAAGAACTCTTGTCCATATCTGTGTTCTCCAGAGCCGTGTTTGTTTGTCGTGTTTGTCTTCACTTCCTGCCCTCCACCTGAAATTCGCGCATCATCGTGATCACGTGACTGAAACCCTCCTATTGGTCTGGTAGCACTGGCGTCCCCTTCTTGTCTCCATAGAGATGGATACATTTAAAGGGCCTATATCAGACATTGTGTCATGGTTCATGTTTGTAGTGGTTGTATTTGCT